TATCTGGAATAATAAAGTTGTCACAACTTATTTTCTTGGAAAGCCAAAGTTCAGATGGAAACCACATCCATTTCAGAAATTCTGAATAAATTCCTTAAGAAGAGAAAAAAGAACCAACACCTAGCAGGGTGAGTGAAACGATTCACTCAGATGATGCTGGTACACATTAAACTCTGCCTTTGTAAATGGTGCTAAGTGGTCCATAGGAAGCTCTGCCAGAGTGATTGATGTCACGACACATGAAATTATACTAAAAATAATTTGTTCTGAATTTTAGTAAAAAAGAAAGAAATATTTCAATGTGTATGAGAACATGACATGCCTAACATTTATCTGGTCCTTTTTGTAAATGATCTTTAACAACAACCTGTGATTAGCAAATCCCTCCACACTCTGGGGGAACACAATCTTGACACCTGTTAGCACCACATTAAATATCCTTTCATAAACTGAAGTCACACAGAATTGATTCATTAATTTACAAAAGGAATAACCCATGTAAATATATGATACTAGTACAAGTTTTCTCATATATTTATTTCTTGATTTTCTTGGCTTTACATTAGCCTGTCAGGTAGTGTCTTGGTTTCCTAAGTCCTTTGGATGCAAACAGTGGCTACAGAAAGAGAAAAAAAGGAAGTGAGTATTTTATGTCTCTATGGATTCTATTTGGATAGCCTTATGTATGATTTACAGTCCACATGTATACGTAACCCATGGTTTTATTTCTGATGGAAACAATTTTAAGGAAATGTAATATTACCTAAAACCCTCGGCTTAGCATTGGTATAGTGTCTGTTTTATACAAAAGAAGATAAGGAACTGGTCAGTTCAACAAAAAGTTAAATGTTTAGTGTTTTAAATATAAGTTGAATCTCACCAGTTTAAATTGTCATATCTTAGCTGAATAGAGTGAAACTTCAGGTTTTGGGAAGTGTCACAATATAGAGAAAATAATCTCCATGAAGGGTGTGGTCAACAGGAAACAAATAACAGAAGTGAAAAAATAAAATTAAGCTGAGCAACTAACCATGCAGTTATTTTTAAGCCAATAGTGGTATATTTTATTAGAAAGGAAATGATTCAAAATACAGCCATCCAAAAATTAAACAAAAGTCCTCCCTTTTGAATGCAGCATATAGCAGTGGAAGAAAGGCATAAAGTGAAGACGACGTGAATTACTTGTGATTCTTATGGGGGTTCTGAGCTTCATCAATTAGGTGCTTTCCCAGGAGAGTCCCTGACACAAATTTTGTATATTGATTACAACTTCCAAGAAAAACAATGCACAAACACAAAATCTTAAAATATTTGAATGCCATGCATTCCAAAGAAAACACATCTGCCTGTGCAATGAAGACTGTGGTTGCCAGCATTCAATCTCTACTCTGGAGGGGTGGTTAAAATGTCTATTTTGTTTTGAACAAAAATGGCTGCAGACACTTCAAATAAAAGAACTTTCCATAGAATGCAGCTGTACCCTTCAGTTTCACCCAATTTGCCACAAAAAATCCCATACAAAATAATCTGAGGACTAGTAAGGTAGATTCTCCTATTTATCGTGATATACTATATTTGCTTCTTAACATATATGGTCTTCTGAGATAATGATGTTAGGAATTAGGTGCTCAGAATGGGCCTTTATAAAATGTCTATATATAGGATTGCCATTTGAGGGCCAAATGGGAACTTGATTTAATAACTGTCAAAACACAATCAAGTTTTTAGTGTCATGGACTGTAATTTACTCAATGTCTATCTTAGCCATAAATACAAATTTCTGAAAAATGAACAGATTTATGATCATGCTTGTCTGTGGCTTCTCATTGTGGAAATCCTAGCAGTTGTGATGAGGTAGACTCTGAGCATAAGGTTCGCTTTTCCTTAGTGAAATTGTGAATCTATTGAATCATAATTCAGTTGTGAGAGAAACACTCTCTGGCTTGTAAGGTAGAGTTTGGGATATGGGGTAAGACTGGTGGTTTACATGGTCCAGAGCTCTTGTTTTCTGCCTATGGAAAATGGGGCAGAACAGGTGAGAGGTCTGTGTACATGCATTGGGTTAGTGGACAAATATGTTAATTCTTTTATGGCCTCCATTTGCACATCTGCGACTAAAGGAAGTTCCACCACACTAAACAGTCTCTCCACTTGCATTTCAGAGTGACACTGTACTGATTGAGGAGTTATGACTAAACATAATCTTAACCACAGTGATGGACTGTGAGTTCTCTACTAGTGGTGTTAGTTACTATTAATTACAGTGACATTTATTGAACACTCACATGCATTGTCTAACAACGACAGCTAAGTTCTAGTCTAACCATCATTTTTAAAAACATGGAAACTGAGGCTTAGACTTGTAAACTAACGTACACAAAATTACAGACCTAGGGGTGCCTGAGTTGGAATTTTTAGGTCAAACTGCTCAACTTTCACCTGCGCTCCCCAGGTCTACCTCATCCTACTTTCTCACACTACAAACTATCTTTTGCATGTAGACAAGATAGAGAAAAATGGACTAAGACACCAAGTAAAGTCCAAGTCTATTTTTTATGTTCACTTTTATTTTTGAAGACTGGATAGCATTGTTGAAAAGTGTGTCTTGTTCGCCCTCAAAGACAAGCCACTTCATGGTTCTCCACATCATGCTGTGTTGAAACGTCTTACTATTTGGACCTTTCGTTTATTTGCATAATGCAGTGTGAACATCTAGAGGGACACATTTCTGTCTGTCTTAGTGCTTGGTTCATAACAGGTGCACAAGACATACTTGAATAAATAATTTATCATAGAATCAATTACTTCTCTGGAACTAGATGACTAAACATGTTCGCACACATCCATCCAATTTTCACTACTCTGGAGTTTGACTGAGTTTGATGGTTGGTTTTCATTTCTCTAATTTTCATCTCTGCCTAAAATAACTCTCCCAGAACACCTTTCTATAGTCTAAATATTTCATGATATTGTCATTTAATATTTTCTCAGAACAAACATAATTTAACTGAGAGTCAATTGAAAGACCAGAGGAGCACAATTAACCTTGTTAATATTTGGAATATGTAAACTCTATAAGGAATTGCCTTTGTCATTCAGATGGAAGGAACATTTAAGGAAAAAATAAAAATCTTTGAATAACCGAATGCAGAGGGAAATATGCAGTTTTGCTGGAGGGCAGAGGGGACTAATCATCTCTCTCCCTTAGGCATTATCTCTAGAATACTTGTAATTCTGACTCAGTCTTCTAAAGATGATAGAATTGATTGCCATAAAGTTGTGCGAATTTTTTTTTTCCATGTAGGTATATCAAGTGCTGAAGTCCTTGGTAAAAGTGAATTGGTTATAATGGTGACGCTAAAGTCTCTGAAAATCATGTTCTTGTGGACATTTTTCTGAGATTTTATATTTCCTTTGTAGCAATAATTTCCTGTTTCTATGTCTGTCCACCACTCAAACATCTAATTTGATGGACTGATGTTAAAACACAATTCAATTGCATTAGATAGCTGGAATTAGAAGACCATTTAATTTTCCAACCCATTATGGTTTAAAATCAAAGCAAACATATAAAACTTAACATGAGAAAAAAAAAATCACCAGTCAGCAAACAACTCATTTCTGCTCCAGTTTCAACAATTTCTTACAGATTAGGATATAAATCCTTAAATATGAGTGGTCTTCAAATAACGTATGCATGGATTCACAGCTGAAATGTTAACATTTCACAGCTGAAATGTTAATAAACTATGATCTAGGTTATGGAACATGATTATACATGTAAAAAATCAGGATGAAAATGGCTTATAGGTCGCAAAAATGAAAGCTAGGACTTCTATGTTAAATGGGCTGATATTTTCAAAACCTCTTTCTGAGCATTTTGAAGAAAGTACAAGTTGTAAAAGTAATTTATAACTTTTAAAAGACCAACTTGTTACCCTTGTTAATTGATTTTTCAATCTGATTCAATCACACCAGTTTCTTATACCACTGTATAAGGACTGTGAGCAATGGAAGACTGTGAGCCTTAATAAGACTTATTAAACTAGAAAGGCAAAATATTTATCTTGCGTGTAATTCATTAAACTTTAATTCTTTTTTGTTGCTTAAAGCAGTTTCTCTCTCCACTAATTTCATTGATTTCTGGCTACTTTAAGGCACACTGATAGTCATAGCCTGCTGGCTGTGCAAGGCCCACCTATACTCAGATGCAGAGCTCATGTTACTATTGTTGTATAACTTCCTCCCATACTTTCTAAATGATAATATCAACCAACATTATTCAATGTTTACTATTGTTGAACTTGGTGCTAAATTCTTTTCAGTCATCAGCTCTCTTAATCCTCACATTAGCAGGAGGTAGGAACAGTGATCCTAACATTTTCTAGGAAAGAGTAATGTCCATGGGTTGAAAGTCCTAAGTTTTTGCTATTTCTTTCAGTTGATTTTGGTTTCTCTGTAAGAAAGTCTCAGGTTCTTAAACTTTCATGTGACAATGATAATCATAGTTGCCACCACCCGAATTACCACACTGGTCAGGATTAATGAGATCCTGGTGATCTATGAAAAAATACTTTTGATATTGATCAGAATAGTCATTGAAACAACCAGAAATAAATGCAGCTAAGTATCTAATATATCTTATTGGTTTAAGAATCCATTTTTGATAAAATCTTGATTTTAATTACAGAAAGTAAGCTTTTATCTTTGCATACTCTATTTACACCCTCACATTATCAGTCAATGCAAGCAAGCTTTGGTCTTTAAACTGCAATTGTTGCTACTTTGAGGAAGTATATGCACATGGCAACATTCCTGCAGTATTGATTTCAATTGCTCTGATTTTTTGTAATTTCTAATGAGACATTTCTCCCAACTAGATTCTCCCATAATCACTGGCATTTCATAATACCAGGGAGAATATATACACCTTGCTTTGTTCCATACCGCTGATCAAGGTAAAATATGCTCTCCTCCAAATAGGAAGTGTTCCTTTTCACATGATCTCCTCCAAGATGATGAGTTCGAATCCTGAGGAAGACCCTTTGGACACATTTCTCCAGTACATTGAAGACATGGGGATGAAAGCCTATGATGGCTTGGTTATTCAGAACGCATCAGACATTGCTCGAGAGAATGATCGCTTGAGAAATGAAACAAACCTGGCTTACTTGAAAGAAAAGAACGAAAAACGCCGAAGACAAGAAGAAGCAATAAAACGGTAAGTGTCAGCAAGATATTCTAATTCTTGTGCAGATGAGGAATCTGAATGTTGCTTAGGTTGTGATGTTACCTGGTCAAGTCAGGACTTGTCAAAGTTAGACTTGACTCCACTATAATGAAACACAGTCCATCCTACTCGATCCTTTCCATAGTTAAGAAAAGTTATTTACTAGAGTGCTGTGCAGATGGAGGTGCAGATGGGAGAGGGAGAGAATTCAGTTTCCTCTAAATAAAAGTTCATACTGAGCAACCTCTTGATAAAAGCACACTAATTCTGTAATAGTTGTCAGGGTGCAAAGGAAATCATCTCATACTCCTCTGGGTTTTTCTAGGTTGGCAAATAATCAAACAAGAACGAGACAGAATTGATAAGAGAAAAAGTCAAAAGGAAGTTCAATAATAGCATGTGCACCACATGAATACATGGGAGACAGCCAGCAAAAACTGAATAACTGACTGCATGGCTTCAGACTTTAAATAGCTCAGCTTAGACAGGAGGACTTTGGGGGCAAGAGGTAATGTCATTTAGGGAGTTTATATAGTCAACAAAGGTAAGACTTTTATGCAGATTTAAATTCTGTCTTCTTCAATGAGAGAAGTTAAGGAAATTATACTTTATGTCAGAATTTACCTGGTGACAATGGAGTTTCAGATGATTGGATCACTTAGAATCTGTCCCCATATGTGTGTGCAGTTGAAGAATTAACTTCCCAGGCACAGGGAGACCAGACTTCTGGCTCCTGAAAAGGTGGTGTCAACAAGCAAACTATGACCACAACGTGCTACATGACACAATTGCTGCTGTCCAAGTTGCAATGTAAGTTCCATGAGAAAAACAATTTTGTTTTTCTCTACAGTTCACAGAACAGAATCTAAAGCTGACTGGTTGCTCAATAACTACTTTCTGTTACACGTATTGATTGATTAAAGAAACATTTATTGAAATTTTACTAAGTGTCAGGCAGTGTTCTAGAACTTGATGAGACACCAACAGACAAAATTCTTGAGGGAACTGTGTTCTCAGGGGAGGATGGATGAGGCCCAGCACTAAACAAATTAATATGTATAAATAGATGTGACAGGTGGTAATATATATTTTTTACATTGGAAAACAAAACAGGGTAAAGGAGATTGCAGATAGCAGGGAAGATCTTGTAAATAAAATGAAAGTTAAGACATTGGAAATGTATACCCAGGATGTGAACCAGATGACTTTCTATGGGAAGAGGAAGCAGTAAGCTTGATGTAGTGACTGAGACACAGACAGGGTGAGTGCAAATTTAGACTACTTGTGGGCCAGTCTTAATGCAGAGTCTTAGAAACTCTTGTGTTTTACTCTGAAAAAATTCATTGAAGAGTTTTGGGCAGAGATGTGGCATGATCTAAGTGGACATTTTATAGGGATTACTCTGGTGTCTGGTGCTGAAGAGATGAATAGGGCATGGCAGAATACAAGGAATGCAGAGAGAAAGTTTTTACCGTAATTCAGTTGAGAGATGATGGTATGGGCGCCATCAGGATTTTCTAATTGGTGAGATGTTGGAGTTGAGAAAGAGAAAGCAATGAAAATGTTTCTCAAGTGTGTTTTGCAATTGTTTTGGGTTTGTTGCTTGGCTGTGTTGCATTTTTCACCTGGACCATAAGAAGAATGATGCTTCCATTTAATGACATAGCAAATTCAAGAAGAGAAGCAAATTTGGGTTAAATGTGAGAGAGCAGAAGCTCAATTTTGGGATGCTGGTTTTGTGACCCTTTTTCGATATTTAGGTGGAAAATTAATTGATAGGCAGTTGCATGGAGACTTCTGGTGGAGACCAAAGCTGGAGATTTAATATGACAGTTGTCTTCTGTCAATTTGAGTCAAGAGCCTTTTTGAGGATACCTTGGACCCGTGGTTAGAGAAGATAAAAGCACCCAGCACTGTTCTCTGCAGTACCTGATTGCTCACATGATAGGAACAGTAGAAGAATCCAGGAGAGAGGAAAAGAATCACATAGGAATGTGAGGCCTCAGAGTGAAGAGACAAAGGTTTAAAGAAGAGAGAGATTCTGCTGAATGATCAAATATGTTGAAACCTGAGAACTGACCCATGTCTTTGACTGCATGGGTGTTGCGTTGACAGGAGTAGGGTTGGTGAAGGGCTGTGACAACACCGCATGGGATTATGTTCATGAGAAGGTGGGAAGAAAGAGATCGAAATAATATAGAGGACTATTTTGAAGACTTTTGAGGTTAAAAAAATAAATATGGAGAATAGCTTAAAGGGGCTCTGGGATCTAAAGTGCTCCCTTTTTACTTTTTTCCTCAAAAAAGAGAAAAATGCTAATATAATGACTACAATAGGAAGGGAAACATAAAGACTGAGGAGAGGGGAGGGTACATACTGTGGTTATGGGCCCTTGAGTAGAAGGGAGGGGGTTGGGATCTCACGCGTCCTAGGTGGGAGCCCAGACTGCTCGGCCATCATAAGAGTGGGGGTGCCCCAGTGAGTGGAGGAATGAATGATGAATGAATGACTGGAGAACCCTGCATGAAACGTACCCAACCTCCTTCATCATATCCCAGATGCCATTTCATTACTGTCCCCGCAGCTGCTTTGCTGAGGTGTCATGCTATCAATAACCCATCACACTCTTTCTTGTAACCCCTTCCCCAGTTATTTTTCTGAAATTCTAATGTAAAGGACAAATGTCTTTGGAACAGACAGAATACTAGGAAGGGGCCAGTGAGGGACCTTGTACAGCATAAGAACATAGAAGTTTCTGGATGATTTTGGGTTGGGGCTTGGAAAGGAATGTCAGAGGAACCCATGAGTGATGATTGGACAGGAGGAGGAGGCCAAAGGCCTTTATGACTTTGCAGTGCCTCTGGCTGTGGAGATCTGAAGTAAGCCCATCGCAGTGGCCATTGTCGTGTTCAAATTCAATTTTATTGTGCTCATAAGATGACAGGTAACCTGGGGTTCTGACAATTTAAAAACATCTTTTCTTCTCATAGTGCATTGTAGGAATATTTTCAACTTTCCTAATAAAAAAAATGTATTTTTAATATTTTTGAAAATTCCACATCAAGATTCTGGCCATGCAGGCATTTTGGGGTCCCAGGATTGGTGATAGAAACAGAATACCCATCTTTAAATTTAACACATATTTTAATATTTTTAACAAGCAATTTGTGTGACGTTATAGAGAAAATTCAATGTGACATTAATGAACACAATTTAATCAATTAAAATTACTTAATATGCCTGCTGAATATCCTCTTAAGTATACACTGTGATTTAATATTTAGGGTGTAAATGCTGAAAATCTGAAGATGGGGCCTGTTTGACCTTGAAAAGGCATTGATGATAATTCTCTGTGAAATATGCCAGTTGAAATTTCAAAAGTGTGCAGACTGCCAAAGATTGCTTAAAAAAATGGAAATAGGATTTCATATGATTGACCTTCTGGATCACATATGTGCTGAGATGCCTTTTGTGTTGAAGCTGGGAAGCTTAAAACACTGAGCTCTTAGAAAAAGAATTCCCTCATCATTTTCTCAGTGTTCTAAGTCACTTAGGCTTTCTGAGTCCAAGTCCTTATTTTTAAACTAACTTGAGCCCCTTGCGCTACCTTTCTTATACCTGCACTTCCATTGTTCAACTGGGATTTTACTGAAAAGACTTGTTGGGTAAAAAATTCTAAATAAATAGTGATATTGGCAATGCTTTTCTTAACAGTCCCAAATAATATTTGGTGAGAGAGAAAAAGATAGACTTAAAAAAGAGAAGTTAATGGAGAATAAAAAAATTATTTCAGAAGCTCATCATTTCTGCTATTTTAAAATCCTAATGGTTTTGTGCAGGCACTGTTAAATGAGATTTACTTTATGTTATAAAGTCTACAAGACAACAGACTCCTGGAAGCTACAGTTTCAAACAAGTGAGCTCACTTAAGATGTGTGTCACAATCCCAGTGTGTTGAGTGTGCAGGTTAAAAGCAATGTATGTGAAACAGGGATCATAGGTATATCAAACCATCAATACAGCAGAGATCATCATTGAGAAGGTGCAATTGACCAGTGAAAACATTCTGGTAGTATCTGTGTGTACCTGTGAACACAGGCCTGCTTTGGATCTTCATTATTTCCATGTATCACCTTGGGTTCAACATCAAATAAAGTTGTTCCCTAAAAAGGATGATTAATCAAAAGGTCATCTGGTATGCCTGAATGTGTATCATTGAAGTTTAGGTCCATTTCATTTCTGGATTCTGGAATTCTCACTACATTTTCTCTTTTTATAATTAGTCATGTATTTTGAAAACAAATAAGAAATAAAGCAAATGACAGGCGGCAAGAATTTTTTCCCGCAGCACTTGTCTTTCTGTTTTCTATTATAGGGAGGGATTAGATTTATTTTTTAATGAGACAGACACTACTTTTGTGAAATTCCCCTAAACATTGCAAGTCTGGAAGACAGCTCTCAACTTCAGCAAAGTGGTTCTGACACAAAGGACTACTTAGGCTGATTAGAAATGTCTCTATTCCCTGTGGATGCCCTCAAGGGATCTATATGAGGTTATATTTCCTCTTTAAAAGTGACAGTCAGAAATGGAATTAGATTACACATAGGTCCTGTAAAAGATACATGCAGTTGGATATTAGTATGTATATGTGGGATCTATTTATTTTGAGGGTTTCAGTATTTTTGTTAGAGAGAAACAAAGGACTACTAAGGTCCATCCTTCCAAACATAAAGATAAATAAAAATTAAACTAAATACTTTTTCCTTTACTAAAACACTCTCTGCTTACCAATTAAATGGTTATACCAGAGTTTTAAATTGGTTAATATTTTCAGTGATTAGCCAAAGACATAATTACACAGGAAGCTCTTATTAGAGAAGTGTTAGCACTTACATAAATCTTCTTTGATGATTATGGCTTCTGGAATCATCCTCATGATTTGTGGCTGAAGACTATATGGAAATAGAGAGCATTAAATGGACACAGGTAG